GTCTGGGGGCCTCTTGGGGGCCTCCTGGTGCGTCTCGGAACGCTATTGGGCCATCTTGGAAGCGCGCCGAGGCCTGCTGGGGCTCGCAGGGGCCGCCAGAGGGGGGCCGGTCCGCTGCCACCGATCGGCCCGTCCACGCGCGCTGGGGTAGCCATTGTAGGAGAGATGACGTCGGGCTCCAGCTTAACCTTCCGCATCTCGCTCAACAGCGCGAGGGCCCGCTGCCACTGCTCGCCCTTCTCGCACGCGCTGATCCCAGCGCTGTAACTGACCACGTTGGGCTCCAGCTTCACCTCCCACATCTCGCTCAGCAGCGCCAGCGCCCTCTGCCACTGCTCGCCATTTTCGCATGCGCTGATCCCAGCGCTGTAGCTGACTAGGGCTGACCCGTGGACTCCGTCCACGAAATCTGCGCGAACGGGCTGGGGCCTTCGGAAGCCCGCGTAGGCGCCTCTTGGGCCGTCTTGGGCCGTCTTGGGCCGCTTCTGGGGTCCTGGAGCCGTGGTGAGCCGTTCCAGGGCTCAGATTCGAAGAGCCTGGGAATCCTTCAAGAAGCCATGGACTCTTCTGCCCTCCCCCTCTCCTGGAAAAAATCCTGAAGCTACTGGGAGCCTGGAGGGGGCCGTTTGGGAGCCTCTCGGGGCGCCTTTGGGGCGTCTGTGGGCTACGGGTGGGCCCTGCTCGGGCGTCCTGGGTGCCCCTGGGGCCGTGTTGGGGCCGACGACAGAGGCCGGCGTAGGCACCTCTTGGGCCGCTCCCGGGGCCGTCTCGGGTGCCCCTTGGGCCGTCGCGGGGCTGTGCTGGGCCGTCGTGGGGCCCTGGGCTGCCCCGGGGGCCCGCGGGGGGCCCGCTCGGGCCGTCGGGGCGCTCTCGCGGGCGGCTCGGCGCCGCCTTGGGGCCGCGGGGGGCCCTCGAGCCTACGCGGGGAGGCCCCCCGAGGCCGTCGTGGAGCGCCTCGGGGCCGTCCGGGAGCGCGCGGGGCCCCGCCGGAAGGCTCCACTGACGTGTGAGCTTCTTCCTTCCGGCGCGCGCGTCTGCCCGCCATGCAGGAGAGACTGGGGCTAACCCGCGGACTACGTCCACTTGCGGGGTGAACGGGTGGCATCACCCTCTCGATCTGCGTCAGGGAATCGCGGGTCCTACGACAGCGCCCACCCCCGAACAGAAGCATGCAGGGCGGCCTCCCGAGCGTTGAAAACGGTCGTCCGCCTCACGTCTCCGGGAGCAGTTTGTAAGCCTCTTGGGCTCTCGCGGGGGCAGTCTTGGGTCTTGAGGGGGACTTGGGGCCGTCTTGGGCGCCTCATGGGCAGTCTTGGGTCGGGGCCGTCTGAGCGTCGCTGGAGCCGTCCTGGGGCCGGCTTGGGGCGTCTGGGGAGCCTTCTGGGGCGTCTTGGGGCAATCCTAGAGGGTTTCAAAGTGCCGAGAGCTGGCCCGTACGCTCTGCCCACTAAACCAAGAATTTCAGAGTGTGTCTGCTGTCGCGTGTTGCGCTCGGTTGCTTGCTGCCGTTCCATTAATTACCAATGCGCGCGTGATTTGTTTAGCCTGCACCTTCTTGCCGTTTGCGTGATGCTTGCTTGGTATTTGCTTGCAGGTCCTGCGAGTTGCTCCTGTTTGCCAGAGCCCTCGGCGCGTGGAATACAACTCCTTCTGGCGTGCGATGAGCCTCTCGCCTCTCGTCCGCTGCCCGTGTCTTGAGAGCAGCTTCGGAACCTCTTCTGGGGGCCTTCTTGAAGCCGTTCGAGGGCTGTCTCGGGTGGCTCTCGGGCCTATTGGGCCATCTTGGGCGCCTCCTAGGTTGTTGTGGAGCCTTTTCCGGATCCTCGTGGACGGCCTTGGAGCGTTCGGGGGAGCCCCAGCAGCCGTCTTGGGTCGGTCTTGGCTCGAAATGGCGAGGAAATGGGAATCTTTCAAAAACAATGGAACATCTCAATGATTTCGTTTGCCGCGGCCCATCTAAACGACCTCTGGGGCCGTGTAGGGGCTATATCGTGGGTGTTGGGCCGTCTCGGAGCTCTCCGTGAGCCCTCCTGGGCGGCTCTTGGGGCCCATCTGGGGGTTCCTGAGGGCTCTCTCGCGCCGTAATTATTCGGTCTCTCTTGGGCCGTTTTGGGCTCCTCTGGAAGCCGTCGTGGAGCCCTCTAGAGCCGTCTTGCGGCCCTTGACGGAGCTCTTGGGCGGCCTTGGAGTGTTCGGGGGGGATCAAATAGCCGTCTTGGGCCGATGTAGGCTCGAAATCGCGAGAGCATGAAAATCAGCCGAACAACTATAGCAAAATCACGATTTCTGGCCGCCGCGGCACGTCTGGACGGCCTCTGGGGCTGCCTTGGGGCTATGTTGGGGCCCTTGGCCCGATCTCGGCGCTCCCTGAAGGCGTCCCGAAGCGTGCTCGAGCCGCCCGGAGGCACGCCGGGCCGCGCTAGGAGCGCCAGGGGCCCGCCGAGGCCGACTTTGGATACTTGATTCGTTTCCTCTCCCGCACGCGCTTTCCCCGGACATGTAGGAGAGACGAGGGCTAACCCGTGGACATTCGTCCACGAGTGCCAGCGGTCAGAGTGCGCTTGCAGCTGCTCATCGCTGCGGGGTGCGCTGTTTGCTTGATGATTCTGACGGCGCCCAGAGCAGCGCCTGTAGTATCAGCGGCAGCAGATCCAGGGGCATGGGCAGTAGCAACAGCAGCAGCAGCTCCTCCTCCTCCTCCTCCTCCTCCTCCTCCTCCTCCTCCTCCTCCTCCTCCTCCTCCTCCTCCTCCTCCTCCTCCTCCTCCTCCTCCTCCGTCCCCTCCTCCGCCTTTCTTCCTCCTCGTGCTTGGCACGTCTTCGTCCTCCTCCTCCTCCTCCTCCTCCTCCTCCTCCTCCTCCTCCTCCTCCTCCTCTTCCTCCTCCTCCTCCTTCTCTTCCTCCTCGTTCGCAGCGTTAGCAGTATCAGCGGTAGCAGATCCAGAGGCATGGGCAGTAGGAGCAGCAGCGGCTCCAGCAGCAGCAGCAGCAGCAGCAGCAGCAGCAGCAGCAGCAGCAGCAGCAGCAGCAGGGCACCATCAACAGCGGCAGCAGCCCCAGCAGCAAGACAGCAGCAGCACGACTGAAACCACAATCCACACCTCTTGGGACACGCTCGGCGCGGGAGGGGTCGCAGAAACAGCGTTCCCAGGTGTCCGCGGCTGCATCGGACAGCTATGTCCTGCAACCCATCCCGCGCGCGACGTGTCCCAAGATGTGTAGGTTGTTGTTTTTGTTCCCATCATCTGGTGCTTTCTCAAAGCCGATCGGAGCCATTGAGAGAGAGCTGGTGGAGGCCTTCCCTTAGCCTGTGAGGTGTTTTTTATTCGGTCGACTGGAGCCTTCGAGGAGCATATCAGAGCCGTTTCGAAGGAGCTGCAGGAGGCTTTCCAGGAGCCTCTGGTGACCGTCCCAGGTCATCTGGGAGACTTTTGGGGTGCTTCTTGAGGGCTTGCTGGCCGCGTGGGGGGCGGGATAGGCGGGGGAGCGTTCAAGAGTTGGCCCTGTTGGGCCTCCCGTCGGGTTAAGTCGGGCGTGTCCCCCTACAGGGGATTTGGGACGAAAAATGAAAAATACCCCCAAAATGCACCCAACATGCTAAAAAATAATCAAAAATCGTCCCCTGACTATTTTATTACTATGTTTGAACATTCCCCCTGTAGAGGGACAGGCCCGACTTAACCGTAGGGCCGTCTTGGGGGTCTGCTCGGCCGTCTTGGCGTCCCCCGAGCCGTCCGCAGCCGTCGTGAAGGTCTCCGGGGCCGTCGTGGAGGCTCTCCTGGGAGCTGGGCGCCCCTCCCGACGACTTGGGCGGACTCTCGGGTGGGCAGAGCGGATGGAGTTGGGGAACAAGCAATGACATAAGCATAAAACAACAAGCAATGGCAGAACCATAGACATTAAAAAACACATAGAAAACATGACAACATAAACATAAAAGCAAGGTCCGCGCGGATTTCTCGGATCGGCGTTGGACCCCCCTCCCTGGAGCGCGGAACGCGCCAAGGGCGGCGCCGGAGGCGCCGCCAAGATGCTCCAGCGCCGGACCTCCGAGTTGTCATGTTTATGTCATTGTTCGTTCCCCAATGGGAATCATTCAAAAACCATGGAAAATCAATGAATACGTTCGCCGAAGACCGTCTGGACGGCCTCTGGGGCCGTGGGGGTGTTGGGCCGTCTCGGAGCTCTCTGTAAGCCCTCTTTGGCGGCTCTTGGGGCCCGTCTGGGGGCTCCTGGGGGGTCTCTCGCGCCGTCTACGGTCTCTCTTGGGCGTTTTGGGCTCCTCTGGGGGCCGTCTCGGGGCACTCCTGAGCCTTCTTGGGGCCCTTGCCGGAGCCTCTTGAGCCTTGGGGCATCCGTGGGGGGTCCAGATCTTGGCTCGAAATCGCGAAAACCTGGGAACCAGGCAAAACCACAGCAACATCAATAATTAATTGCTGGCCGCCGCGAGCCGTCTGGACGGCCTCTGGGGCCGTCGTGGGGCCATGTTGGGGCCCTTGGCCCGACCTCGGCGCTCCCTGCAGGCGTCCCGAAGCGTGCTCGAGCCGCCCCGCGAGGCAGGCCGGGCCGCGCCAGGTGCGCCAGGGGCCGACCGAGGCGGAGGCCGATTCGGGATACTCGACCACGTTTCCCTTCCCGCAGGGGCCACGATTCGCCTCGACCTTCCCTTCCGATTCGGGATACTCGACCTGCGTCCCCCGGACACGTAGACCCGCGGGGCCCCTCGGGGCCATCCTCAGAAGCCAATATGCCGACTTCGGGCCAAGGGGTCCCCCACGCGACCCCCCGCGCTGTAGGAGAGATGACGCTGGGCTTCAGCTTCGCCTCGCACATCTCGCTCAGCAGCGCCAGCGCCCGCTGCCACTGCTCGCCCTTCGCGCACGCGCTGATCCCAGCGCTGTAGCTGATGACGTCGGGCTCCAGCTTCGCCTCCCGCATCTCGCTCAGCAGCGCCAGCGCCCGCTGCCACTGCTCGCCCTTCGCGCACGCTCTGATCCCAGCGCTGTAGCTGATGACGTCGGGCTCCAGCTTCGCTTCACACATCTCGCTCAGCAGCGCCAGCGCCCGCTGCCACTTCTCGCCCTTCGTGCACGCGCTGATCCCAGCGCTGTAGCTGATGACGTCGGGCTCCAGCTTCGCCTCCCGCATCTCGCTCAGCAGCGCCAGCGCCCGCTGCCACTGCTCGCCCTTCGCGCACGCTCTGATCCCAGCGCTGTAGCTGATGACGTCGGGCTCCAGCTTCGCCTTACACATCTCGCTCAGCAGCGCCAGCGCCCGCTGCCACTGCTCGCCCTTCGTGCACGCGCTGATCCCAGCGCTGTAGCTGATGACGTCGGGCTCCAGCTTCGCCTCCCGCATCTCGCTCAGCAGCGCCAGCGCCCGCTGCCACTGCTCGCCCTTCGCGCACGCGCTGATCCCAGCGTTGTAGGAGATACTGGGGCTGACCCGACGAGCTTCCACGAGCTTGTAGAGAACGTTCATGCTGGGGTCGTCGCAGAAGCCGATGCGCGCTTGGCGGGGGGGCCCGAGAGGACGGGAAAGGAGATACGGCTGCCGTCGTGGTCGGTTCGTCGACGTCGTTGGAGATACTAGGGCTGACCCGTGGACCCCGTCCACGACATATGCTCCAGGTGTCCAAAAGGGTCTGGGCAAGCGTGCTTGCCCCTGCCCGGTGCCGTTTACTGCCGCTCGCTGTTGCTGAGCGATGCCTGCTGCCACTTGCGGCCTTTCGTTTGGTCAGTCGTCTACTGCCGCCTGCGGCAACGGTTTGCTGCGGGCTGGTGCATGTGCTAGCTCTTGCCTGGTGGTGGATGCTGCCACCTGCCTGCAGCTGCTTGCTGCAGGATGCTGCTTGGCACTGGTGATGTCAACGCGTGTTGCTGCTTCAGCTGCTGCTCGCCGTTGCTTCTGTTCTCTGCTGCTGGATCCTCCTCCTCTTTCTACGTCCCTCCACCCTTCTCCCCCTCGATGCTCCATCGTGCCAATCGTCGTTTCTACGACGACGCTTCCAAGAGCACAAACAGCCAGTGCCTCTGGAGGCTTCTGTTTGCCTCTTGAGGGTCTCTGGGGCTGTCCTGGCGCTGTCTCTGGCGCCTCTCGGTCAGTCTTGCGTCCGTCTTGGGCCCCTCGGGCCGCTCTTCGGGGTCTCTTGGGGCTCTCTTGGGCCGTCTTTGCGTCGCTGGGGCCGCTCTGGGGCCAGCTTGGGGCGTCTTGGCGCCGTCTTGGAAGCCTTCTGGGGCGTCTTGGAGCAAGCTTGGAGGGTTGCATAGTGTCGAGGGCTGGCCCGTACGCTCTGCCCACGAAAGCAAGAGTGTCAGTGTGTGTCTGCTGTCGCTTGATGCGCTCGGTTGCTTGCTGCCGGTTCTTTGCCAATGCGCGCGTGATATGTTTAGCCTGCACCGTCCTGCCTAAAAACCATATTTCCGACGATGTGGTACATTGAATCAATGAACTTCTCCTCGACTCTGGAGAGGTACAGTCGACGCGCTGCCATCAGGAACGCCAAATAACAAATGTGGGGGCTTTTCTGGCCACGGCGAGCCTCGGTCACGAATGGGATCCCCGACCCATGGATCAGGAACGGCCCAGACATCAGAGCCTCTCTCAAGCCCAGATCGGTCCATATTTAAGCGCCTTGTCTGTAATTCGTCGGACTTGCTTGATGTTTGCTTGCAGGTCCTGCGAGTTGCTCCTGTTTGCCATGGCCCTCGGAGCGTGGAAAACAACTCCTTCGGGCGTGCGATGAGCCGCTCGCCTCTCGTCCGCTGCCCGTGTCTTGAGAGCAGCTTTGGAGCCTCTGCTGGGGGCCTGCTGGAAGCCATTCGGGGGGCTGTCTCGGGTGGCTCTCGGGCCGTCTTGGGGCCTCTTGGGCCATCTTGGGCGCCTCCTGGGCCATCTTGGAACCCTCCTGGGTGGTTGTGGGGCCTTTTTCCGGATCCTCTTGGACGGCCTTGGAGCGTTCGGGGGAGCCCCAGCGGCCGTTTTGGGCTGGGCTTGGCCCGACATGGCTAGAAGGCGGAAATCATTCCAAAAACATATGGACATGAATGATTTCGTTTGCCGCGGTCCGTCTGGACGGCCTCTGGGGAGTGTCTGGGGCTACATTGGGGGTGTTGGGCCCTCCCTGAGCTCTCTGTAAGCCCAGGCTCCTGCGGGCTCTCTCGCGCCGTCTAGGGTCTCTCTTGGGCAGCTTCGGGCTTGGGTCTCTCTTGGGCCGCGAGATGATATTAGGGGGCCACTTGCGGACCCTACCCCAACCCCCCACGATTTCTGAGGGAGAGGGTGGGGTTCACTTCGCTCGGGAGCTCCTGAATAAAGTGAACCCCACCCTCCCCCTCAGAAATCGTGGGGGGTAGGGGTAGGGTTCGCAAGTGGCCCCCTAGATATGAACAAAAACTACAACCCACACCTCTTGGGACACGCTCGGTGCGCGAGGGGTCGCGGAAAAAGCGCTCCCAGGCGGCCGCAGCTGGCTCTGACAGCTATTTTCTGCATTCCCTCCCGCGCGAGAGGTGCCCCAAGAGGTGTGAGGTGCGGTGTCTGTTCCCATAAGCTGGTGGTGCTTTCTGAAAGTCCATCGGAGCAGTTCGGTGGGAGCTGCTGGAGGCCTTCGAGGAGCCCGTGGGGTATCACTTGTTCTGGTGAGCTGGGACCCTCCTAGGGCCGTCTCGTGGGAGCTGCTGGAAGCGTTTCGGGAGCATCTGGGGAGTGCCCCGGAGGCCATCTTGGAGCCTCTGGGGGGCATGTTGGGGGCTTGCTGGCCGTGGGAGGGGCGGCAGGGGGGGGGGGGGGGCGCTCCAGAGATGGCCCTGTTGGGCCTCTCTTGGAGGCTGTTCGGCCGCCTTGGGAGTCCCATGAGCCGTCTTCAGAGTCTCTGGGGTCGTCGCAGGGGCACTCTTGGGGAGCTCCCTTGGTGCCCTCCGGACGACTTGTGCAGCTTGTCTCGGAGTGGGTTGGGCGTCTTTCGGCCGCAGAATCGATCGCACGAGGAAGTCTCAACAAAAACCTCACGAGGAAGTCTCAACAAAAACCTAAATAATATCGATCGCGATGCGTCCTCGTGGGCCTCTGGGAGCCTGGTGGAACCCGGTGGGGGCCTTCTCGGGCCGTCTCCCCCCTTGCGCCGCAGAGGAGCGCACTGGGAGCCTCACGGGGCACTCGCGGGGCTCTCCGAATTAGGCCAAGACGGCGTCAATCCACGAGCGGGGCCGCGGAGGCGCCGCCGCCGCGGGCCGGGCGAGTGCAGGCACCGTGTTCTCTTGGCAGGCGCGGAGCCCGATGGTCTGGAACATAGCTGGCATCGGGCTCCAGCGTCGCCTCCCGCATCTCGCTCAAGAGCGCCACGGCCCACTGCCACCGCGCGCAATTCTCGCACGCGCCGATCCCGGCGCTGTAGCTGATGTAGTCCAGAGCCCCGGAGAATGAATCATAACCCAACTTCACCACGGAGGGTTGATTCCCTCCGGCTGAGACGGAGTTGGTCGAGGGAGAGAGGGCGGCGAAGCCGAGCTCCATTGTCGCGGTGGAGAGTTGGGAATCGCAGCTGCTGTCTTCTGATGCTGAGCAGCAACATCATCACGCACGTGTGGCAGGGCTATTTGAATCTCACCTATTCAACGCTCCCCAGTCACGAACGTGTGGCAGGAACATATATCTATAAGAGAGAGAGAGATAGAGAAAAAAAAAAAATGGAGAGATGATCACCACTTCAACTTTCCCAAGTCACGAACGTGCGGCAGGGCTTACGTGTGGCAGGCTTTAGAACCGAGCGGGAAGCGCGTGCATGCGACGAGCTTTGCAAGAACGTGCAACATCATCACGATAAGATGCTATCGCATCTCGGCCTTACCCGCCTGCAGACGCCATCTCCCCACTCGAGTTCCTCTATGTCAGGTCGAGTATACTTTCCGCTCGAGTTCAGACGAGGCACACCTCCCACTGGCGCATCTCGGCATTATCCGGGTCCAGACCCCCTATCTCACCACTCGCGTTCCCCAATGTCAGGTGGAGTTTACTTCCCGCGCGAGGGAAGACGAGGCGCAGCCCCCGCTGGCACATCTCGGCATTTTCCGTCTCCAGAACCCCCAACCTCCCCACTGGCGTTCCCCAAGTCGATTTTGCCTTCCGCGCGAGTTCAGACGAGGCGCACCCCCCGCTGGCACATTTCGGCATGATCTGTGTCCAGGCCCCCAACCTCCCCACTCGCGTTCCCCACATGTCAGGTCGAGTTTACTTTCCGCGCAACTTGAGGCGAACCGCACCCCCCCGCTGGCGCACCTCGGCAGTATCCATGTCCAGACCCCCAACCTCCCCACTCGCGCTCCCAAATGGCAGGTGGAGTTTACTTTCCGCGCGAGCTCAGACGAGGCGCACCCCCAGCTGGTGCGTTTCGGCATGATCTGTCTCCAGACCCCCGACCTCCCCACTTGCGTTACCACATGTCAGGTCGAGTTTACCTTCCGCGCGAACTCAGACGAGGCGCACCTCCCGCTGGCGCGTCTCGGCACTATCCGCCTCCAGACCCGCTACGCCCCCCCCCTCGCGTTCCCCCATGTCAGGTCGAGTTTGCTTTCCGCGCGAGTTCAGACGAGGCGCACCTCCCGCTGGCGCATCTACGATGACGACGACGACGGTGATGACGACAGCGACGACGACGGCGATGATGACGACGACGATGACGTTGACGACAACAGTGACGACGACGACAATGCCGAGGAGGAGGACGACAAAGACGATGACGATGGCAATGACAACGACGACGCAAAGACGACGACGATGCATATGGTGATGATGTACCGAGCGAAACGCATAACCTCATGCCCGTGAGAATAAACACTAGGGGATAATAAAGTTCGGGGTTCAGGGAGAGATACTAAAAGTAGCCCAGCAGACCTCAGCATAATCTCGAAGTAAGAGATGATCAAGAGGAGACCAATCCGAGCACGTTTTGAGACATCCTTGGCGTTTAGTTTACATAGAAATATCCTCAACAATGGCTTATCTCTCATGAACATTGTTTTTTTTGTAAGTGCTCGTGTAGGGTAGCTCATGTGCCTCAATTTCCATGGATAATCAACCCCAGAGATAAAAAAGTTCAGGCGAGCGTGGGGACAGAGAGAAATATAAAAGAAGAAGAATACAGTAGAAGAATAATAAGAAAGAAGAAACATATGAGAATACGAAGAGGACGAAGAAAGGAACAATCCAAAGTTCCAAATCTATCAATTTTAATTTACAAACGCTTTATGAAAATTGATGTTTTTTAAGTGCTCGTGTAGGGTAGCTCATGTGCTTCATTTTCCATGGATGCTCAACCCCAGGGATAAAAAAGTTCAGGCGAGCGTGAGGACAGATAGAACTATAAAAGAAGAAGAGGAAAGTAGAATAATAATAAGAACATTGCTCTTTTCGTTTGAGTCTGCCTCCCAAAATTATTGGTTTCGCTTGACACATCCTGAAAAAGTGTGATCGCTTCGCTTGACGTTGCTATATCAACATCGCTTGATGTTGCTATCTCAACATAGCGTTTCGAGGTGATAATGAAGTTCGGCCTCAGCGCTCGCCGCCCAATTTGAATTTTGTATAGGGCGACGATAATCAACTCTAAACACTGAAGGGGGAGGGTCCCTTTATTATCATCGGCATGCGGTTACTTTTGAGTGAACTTGTTGAACAGCCGTAGATGTCTTCACATGTTTTGCATCTTGGGCCGTCTTGGGGGTCCTCCAACGAATGCCTCCAAGACTTGTCGTACGACAGCTAAGTGCACATCGCATGGTTTGGAGGATGTCTCAGGCGGGAGCTTCATGTTTGAGAATACGACGAATTCGCAAGCTCCCTGGACATCTCCGTTTTCCCAGGATGTCTCCGACGATAGCTACATTTCTAACATACGGTGTCTAATCACAGCTCGTTCGGCATCTATGTGTTGTCAAGATGTCTCAGGGGGAACGCCCATTTTCTGGAGATCGGCAAATGTCGCGAAACATCTCCCGATCTTCATGTTTCGAGGGTGTCTGCAGCGAGAGCTTCAGTTTTAACATGCAGTGCCCTAAAATAGATCTTCCGAGATCTCCATTTTCTGAGGATGTCCCCCTTGCCACCTCTCATCGCTGGTGTGTGTGTGTGTGTGTGTCTGGGGGGGGGGGGCAAAAAACGTGCTGGGGTGTGCGGGGGTGGCAGAGGAGGGAGTGAGGCGCATAATAGCGAGCAGGAGGCCGAGGAGGAAGAGAGTAGCTCTGGAGCGAGGGCGGTCATCGGATTCGTTTGGAGGCCCTCAGAGGCAGCAAAGGATGCGGCTGCTGCTGCCGGGGCTCCGAAGTGTCTACATGTCCCCTTTGCTACTCCGAATCCGCTGTGAAGGCCCCAGGAGTGATTCGAGCTTGCAGGAAGGGGAGCCAAGGAGAAGGATCTGGAGGAGGAGGAAGGAGGATGAGTGAGAGAAAAGGGCTGAACGGGGAGGGGGGGCTCGTTGGGCCCTGTCATGGGTAAGAGGCTTTGTTGAAAGATGCCACGGAGTCACAAGGGCGGGAGGCTCTCTTAGGTGCCCTGTAGGAATTATCGGAGTATCTTGGGAGGGTCTTGGGCGCCTCGGAGTGGTCTGGGGCTTCGTTCGGGGTCCACGGCTTTCTTTCGGGCTTCTGGGGTTCCAGAGACGGCCAAAGGGTGCCGCGGCTGATGGCGCTCTGCTAACAGCTCGTTGGCAAGTGTCAGAGTCTCTTGGTTGGGAGACTCCTGGGGCATCGCATTGGTACTGGAAAGGAGTGGTCCTGGGAAGGCTCTTGGCCCATTGTGAGCTGCGGGAGGCCCAGCGTCTGGACTATCTCTGGGCGCTCTTGGAGGCCTCGTGGGGGTCTTTCTGGAGCCTCGTTCCCATTCTGGAGCGCTCTTGGGCCCTGGTGCGGGCTTGTAGGGACGTCCTGGGGCCATATGGGGGGGGGCTGCTGATGTTGGGAGTCTTGGGGCTTCAGGGGGCCATGTTGGACGGTCTGGGCCGTTTGGGAGCCCGCTTTGAGCCCTCTTCGGCAGCTCCTGAGGCCTTCTCGGGCCATCCGGGCGATCTCCCGAGCCGCTTCGGGGACCTCTCGGGCTGCCCTGGGCCGACGTTGGCGGTCTCGGGCCGTTTCGGATCCCGCTTTGGGGCCCTCTTGGGGCTTGCTTGGGGGGCCACGGCGGGCTCTGTGAGGCTGTCCTGGGCCTCTCTCGGGCAATCTTCGGGGGGAGGGGCCGTCCTGGGGCACTTGGCGGGGCCTCCTGGGCCGTCTTATAGGGTGATCCCGGATGGCCCTGGAGCCGTCTGGGGGCGTTCTTGGCCCGAAAGGGCGAGAACATGGATCGGGAAACGTGGTTTAGTGAAAACGACCTGAGGCCCGAACCTGGTGGGCGCAAGCCTGGAAAATGGCGGCCACGGCGCCCTCTCGAGAACCGAAAACGGACAATTCACTAATCGACGTGTCACTGTTGGGGGTTCTGTCCAACCCCGAATGGAACACATTCCAAAACCCGGTGATTTGGGTCTCGGGGGACCGTCATGAGGCACCTGGCCCGTCGTCGGGCAGTCTTGAGCTGTCATTGGGGCTCCGTTCGAGTTCTCGTGTGCCGGTCTCGCGCGCTCAGAGCGTCCCAGAGCTGTCGCGTGGCCGTCAGAAGCCGTCTTGGAGCCACCTGGGGGCTCTCTGGAACCGTCCGAGAGCGGCGGGGCGCTCCGGAGATTCGGGGGCATCTCGCGACCTTCTCCCTCCTGTCGCACGCGCAACGACCAGACTTGCAGTAGTGATGACGTCGGGCTCCAGCTTCGCCTCCCGCATCTCGCTCAGCAGCGCCAGCGCGGGCTGCCACTGCTCGCCCTTCTCGCACGCGCTGATCCCAGCGTTGTAGATTAGAAGACTAGGCTAGGGCGAACCCGTGGACTTCGTCCACGTCATCTTGGGCCAGTCTTGGCTCGAAAAGGCCGTCTTGGGCCTGTCGTTGCTCGAAATGGCGAGAAGGTGGAAATCTTTCAGAAACCACAGAAGCATCAATGAATTCGTTTGCCGCGGCTCGTCTGGGGCGTCTTGAAGCGGTGGGCCGTCTCGGAGGCCCTCTTGGACCGCTTCCTTCTCTTCGTCCGCCTTCCGCTCTACCTCCGCCTAGACAGCCTTCGGAGCGTCACAGACGGCTCTGGTGGGTCTGCGGTGTACGTCTCGCCGCTTGTCAATTTTGAAAGCACCTGGGGCCTTGAAAAAAGTCACCCGGAGGGCTCTGGTGACTTTTTCCCGTTGCCTCTTCGAAGCCTGGTGGCGGGCGCTGCCGTCTCCTTGGGAACGATTAGTGGGCCTCTCGGGGTTTCTTTTCGAGCTCCTGGGGGCCTGTTGGGGCCCGATGGCTGTCTTGTGGCCTCCTAGGGGCCTCTTGGGGCCCTCTTGGGCCGTCTCTGGGGCCGTTCCTGGGCTGTCCCCCGAGCCTCTTCCGGGGGACAGCCCAGGAAATCTATTCTGCTTGCGTGCTGTGCGTGCGTGCTCCTGTGTGAGAGGTCGGAAGGGTGTCCCGACGTCACCGCTCGCTCTTGGGAGCTGTGCCTGGGAGAGCTCTCTACGCTGCGTCTCGCTCTTGGGAGCCTTGGTGAGAAGAGCTTTCTACTTCACCGATCGCTCTTTTTGTGGGCGTCTCTGGGCCTGCTTGGTGGTCCTTCTGGTGGTCTTTTTCGGGCCATTCTGGCGCTTTTGGGGGCTGCTCTGGGAGCGTCTTGGGACGTTTTGGTGCCTTTTTGGGCCGTCACGGGGCGTCCCGGAGGCCTTGGACCGTCTTGGAGCTCTCTTGAAGCTGCCTGAGGCCGTCTTGGGAGCCTCTTGGGGCCCCCTCGGAGCTCTCTTGGGGCCGTCTTGGGGTTCTGTGAGGCCGTTTCAGGGCTCTCTGGCGTCGTCTTGGGGCTCTTGTGGGCCGTCTTGGAGCCCTCTTAGGGGCCGCTGGCGTCTTCTTGGGGCGATTTGGGAGGCCTCTTGGCGTGTCCCGGGCCGTTCAGGAGCATACAAGGCGGGCATGCTGAGAATGTACGTTTACCCATCGGAATTTGACGATTTGTGCCTCTTTGGCATGCGCTCGGGGCCCTCTCGGGGCGTCTTTGCGGCCTCTTGGATCGTCGTGGAGCCCCCCCCCGGAAGGCTTCGGGCCCTCGTGGGCCGTCTCGGGACCCACTGAGGCCGTCTTGGAGCGCTCTTGGACGGTCTGAGACCCCTCTGGAGCGCCTCTGGGACCGGCCTGAGCGATTCGGCCCCGTGGTGGCATAAAGAGGCGATTTTGTGCACACGAGGCCCTGTGAACCCTTCTCGCACGCGAATCCACTGGCCATGTAGGAGTGACTAGGGCTGACCCGTGGACTACGTCCAGGGGTGAAGGGGCGCTGCCGCAAGGCGAGCAGAGTGAATGGCGTCATGTGTACCTTCCACATATCGCTGAGCTGCGGGGGCGCCTGAAGCGCTGCTCGCCCGTCTGGGAGCCCCCAAAAAGCCCTCAAGCCCTCAACGACACCGACGACGGCGGCGGCGGCGGTTGCGACGACGACGACGACGACGACGACGACGACGACGACGACGACGACGACGACGACGACGACGACGGCGGCGGCGACGACGACGACGACGACGACGACGACGACGACGACGACGGCGGCGGCGACGACGCCGACGACGGTGGCGGCGGCGGCGGCGGCGGCGGCGACCACGGGCTGGCTGGCCCGATTCAGGGCCACCGGCCCGCCGGCCCGGAGTCGGCGGTGCCATGGGCCTCGGCGCCGCCAGCCAAGAATCCCGCCCGGTGCGCCCCGGGCTGCCTCTCGCGCCTCTGGCCCATCCGATGCCAGGCGCCCCGCGGGCCCCACCCAGCCGATTGCGGGCCCCAGACCCGCCGGCCTGGGACTCTGGGCCGCCGCGCCGCCGGCCCGGAATCCCGCCCGGCGCGCCCCAGGGCCGCCGCGCGCGCTTCCGGGGTCGCCCGAGGCGATTCTGGGCCGCAGGGCCCGCCAGTCCAGAGTCGGCGGGACCACTTCTGGGCCGCCGCGCCACCAGCCAAGACTCCCGCCCAGCGCGCCCTGGGCCAATTCTCGCGCCTCTGGGGCGGGCCTACCCGTTTCTGGACCACCAACCCGCCAGCCCAGAATCGGCGGGACCGATTCTGAACCACCGCGCCGCTGGCCCAGAATCCCGCCCGGTGCGCCCTGGGCGGCCGCGCGCGCTTCCGGGGTCGGCCGAGGCGATTCTTGGCCACCAGCCTTCCAGCCCACAGTCGGCGGGCCGATTCTGGGCTGCCGCGCTGCCAGCCCTGAATCCCGCCCAGCGCGTCCCGGGACAACGCGGGCGCCTCTGTGGCGGCCCTAGCCGATTCTGGGCCACCGGCCCGCCAGCCCAGAATCGGGGTTTTGGCACCGGCCCATGGTGCGCTTGGAGCCATTTCGGGACCGTCTTCGGGCGCCGTCTCAGGCCGTCTTTGGCTGCTGTTGGTGCTGTCTTCGGTGCTTCATGGGCCGTGATCTTGGGGCGGCTCGTTGAGGAGCCTCTCAGCGCTTCTTGTCGGCCTCCTGGAAGCCCTATTGGGCTGTCTCGGGTGCCTCTGGGGCCGTGTGGCGGCCGTGTGGAGGCCGTCCAGGGCCGTCTGGGGGTTGTCTTGGGCCGTCGTGGGCGTCTCTGAAGCAGTCTGGGCACCAGAGTCGTCTTGGGCCGTCCTGGGCCGCTCTTGAAACTGTCTTGGGTACCCCGTAGGCCGCCAGGGGCGCCTCGGCAGCCGACCTGGGGCCATCTCGGGCCCCTGTGTGGCCGTCATGGACGCTATGAAGAGAGCAAGCCCGGGAACTGCGAAAATATGCGTTTCCCCTTGGGAATGGGATAATTTTTCAGTGTTCGGGCTCTCTTGGGGCTCGTCGTGGAGCCCCCATTGGAGCGTTTTGGAAATCTCTTCGGCCATCTTCGGCCGTCTGGGGGCCCTCTAGGGGACCCCCTGATGCGTCTCGGAACGCTCTTGGGCCGCCTTGGAAGCGCGCCGAGGCCTGCTGGGGCTGGCAGGAGGGGCCGGTCCGCTGCCACCGATCGGCACCTCCGCGAGTGCTGGGCCAGCCATTGTAGGAGAGATGGCTAGGGCTGGACCGCGGCCTTCCGGCCGCGGAATCTGCCCACCATGGTGTGGACTCCGCACTGGGGCCGCTCAGGCGCCTGGTGCACGGGAGGATCCCCGATGTGACGCTGGAGTAACTGTCCATTTGGCTTACTTGGGCTGCGCGTTGAGATCCTTCTTGGGGTATCTGGACATTCTTGGGGCCTTCTTCGGGGCATGCTCGGGACATCTCTGTGGCTCCTACCAGCTTTGGGGCCACTTTGGGCGCCCCCCTCGTGCTGCCCTGGATCCCTCATCCCGTCGATCTTCGTTAGGAGCCGTCTCGATGTGTCTGGACCCTCTTGGGGCCTCCTTCGGGTCATGCTCGAGACACCTCGGTGGGTCCTGTCGGCTTGTGGTGCACTTGTGGGCGTCCGCCTCCTCCTCCCTCGATCCTTCATCCTGCCGATTTTCGATCGTCAGTAGTCGACGCTCTCCAAGAGAGAAGCATCGAAGGCCTGTTGGGGGCCGGTTGGGGGCTTCTTTTCGTCCTCCTGGGGGGCTCTCAGGGCCCTCTTGGGCCGTCTGGAGTGCCCCTGGGGCCGTCTTGGGGCGATGTGGGACCGCCTGGAGCGCCTCTCAGGCCATCTTGGGGCCGTCTTGGGGCCATCTTGGGCCCTCATTGTGCGCTCTCGGGGCTGTCTTGGGTGCCTCTTGGGCCGCCTCGGGCGTCCCTGGAGCCGTCCCAGGGCCGTCTCCCTCCTGGGGACGCCTCGGGTCGACTGTGCAAACGGCTATCCCAGGTAGACGTTTTCCGAGATGGATGGGGCGATTTTTGCCTCTTGGGGCTCTCCTGGGGGTTCTCCTGCGCCGTCTCGGGAGCCTCCTGGCCTGCCTTGGAAGCCGCCTCTGGGGCCATCCTGGGGCCCTCTTGGGGTCCTCTTGGGGCGTCCGGGCGCCCTCTTGAGCGTCTCTGAGCCGTCTTGGGGCCGTCTTGGGGCATCTTGGGGCCCCCCGGGGCCGTCTCAGAGCGCCCCGGGGACTCGCAGGGCGCCCCAGAGGGCCCGGGGGGCCTTTCGGGACAGAGGACCTTCTCGCACGCAACGACCGCTGCATTCTAGAAGAGATGACGTCAGGCTCCAGCTTCGCCTTCCACATCCCGCTCAACAGCGCCAGCGCTGGCTGCCACTGCTCGCATTTCTCGCACGCGCTGATCCCAGCGCTGTAGCTGACTATGGCTAACCTGTGGACCACGTCCACGACATCTTTCTGCAATGGTTCTCGGAGGGACGGCGGACAGCCTGCCAAAAACCTATAAGCACGGCGGCGGCCAGGGCGGCGGAAGCGAGACCGCGCCTTCGCGACCAAGCCCTTGCACCGTTTCAGCAGCTTGGCCCCAGCGCACGGCTCGTTCGCCCTCCTCCTAATGGAGGCATTCTTGAAGTCCCTCGGGGATGTGCGTCAAAGTCGAAGCCCATCGGAGGCGTCTCAGAAGCGAACGGGGAAGGCCTCGGGAGGCCCTCGGGGCAAGCCACTGGGAGCGCTGGGGAGGCTCGCAAGGATCTCTGGGGAGGGCCCAAGAGAGCCTTAATAAGGCGTGACATTATGTAAGATCTTGACAGAAACCGCTGTTGGGTCGGACGTGCCCTCTTGTTAAGATTGTTGTTACATTGGAGTCCCTCTGGGGCGCATGCCAGGGTTCCTGATTGGGCGGCCGAGAAGCTTGCACAACGGTTCCTGGAGCCCACACCCTCTATCGGGGGCAGTCTTGAAGTCTCTCGGGGATGTGCGT